ATATTATCTCTTTATTTAGCGTATTTTATATAGAAAAGTTAATAATATTTTAGAGATTTTAGTAATAATATAATATAATTAATTATATAGTAATTTTAATAATTTTAATTAGATATAATATATCTTAACTCGCTTTATATTATCTTAAATAAAAAGCGAGAGCGTTTAAATATAGCTCTTAGCCTTTAAATTATAAGCGAATTATAATTATTTAAATCTAGAATAATTATTTTAAAATAAAAATTTTCTATAATAAAGAGATTAATAAAGTCTTTTATAATTATAGTTATCTTTATTATAATAGATATAAATATCTAAAGATAATCGCAGTTATAGCGATAGATTATATTATTACTAAAATAATTATCGAGTATAGCTTAGATTTATAATCTATTAAAAAGGTAATATACTCGAAAGAGCTTAATCGAGATAATATTTATATTTTAATAAACGCCTTAAAAATTAAATAATAAATCTTTAACTTTTTTATATAATTATATTTCTTTATTAGTTTATTAGTTTATTAGTTTATTAGTTTATTAGTTTATTAGTTTATTAATATACTTACTCTCGCTATCTCTTATCTAAATATTATTAAATATTTAAAAAAGTTATATTCTTTCTATTTATCTTATAAAGCTCTTATTAATATCTTTAAATCGTCTTTGAATAAATTCGTTATTATTAATAGTCGAGATCGTAAGCGAGCTTACTCGTATTTACTAGAACTTATAATCTATTAAAATTTATAATATTAGTATATATAATAGAATAAGATAGAGCTAAGCTAGAAAATCTTAAATTTATATATATAGTTAATTATAAATTTAATAGATCTACGCTTTTTAATTAGATATCGCGAGTAAATAAATTAGCGTTTATAATTATTAAAATCTCTTTTTCTACTTTTAATCTTTTAATAACTTTACTATCTTCTATTAAAATTTAATTTTAATTTTAAATTATAGACTACTATTTACGCTTTCTAAAAATGAAAAATTCTAAAATTTAATCTTATAGTTCTTTAAAGATAAGGAATTTAAATATCGCTTACTAAAGATCGCTTATTAAATTTACTCGATAGCTCTAATTAAAAAAATAATTATAAATTTAATTTATAAATATTTACTCGTTTAGTATACTATTATATAACTTTATTAATTTAAACTCGATTATATAATAATTAGAGAAAAAAAGTTAAAGAAATATAAATTTTTATTTTTTATTTTATATTTTTTTATTAATTAAGTTTAAATTTATAAAGTTATATAATAATACGAGTTTAAATCTATAAATTAAATTTATAATTTAAATTTTTAATTAAAGCTATCGAGTAAATTTAATAAGTAAACTTTAATAAGCGAACTTTAATAAGCGATAATTAATTTTTTTTAAATAATTATAAGATTAAATTCTATAATTATTTTAGTGTTAAAAAGTATAAACTATACTTTATAATTTATAAAAAAATTAAAAGATTTTAATAGAGAATAAAAAAGTTATTTAGTTTATAAATAATATATATCTATTTTTTTAATAAGAGAGCTTAAAAGAGCTAGCGAGCTAACTTAGATAGTCTAGTTAAAAGATATAATAACTTCGAATTTATAATTAAGTTTATATATAAATTTAAGATTCTCTAGCTTAGTTTTATCTTATTTTTTTTATATATATTTATATTAAGATAAGTAAAGGTTTATAAATTAAATTTATAGTTATTTATTTAATTAGGGCTATCGAGTAAGTAGATAAGCGATCTTTAATAAGCGAACTTTGATGAGCGGGCTGTTCGGCTATCGAGCGAACTTTGATAAGCGATTTTTAAATTCCTTGCGCTTTAATAATTATAAGACCGAATTTCAAAAAAATTTCATTATTGAAAAGCGCATATTTCGGGCTATAATTTAAAAAAAAAATCTTAAAATTTTAATAGAAAATAGTAAAGTTATTAAAAGGTTAAAAGTAGGGGAAGAGATTTTTAATAATTGCGAACGCTAATTTATTTACCCGCGGTATCTAATTAAAAAGCGTAGATCTAATAAATTAATAATTGGCTATATATATAAATTTAAGATTTTCTAGTTTAGCTCTATCTTATTCTTTTATATATACTAATAATTATTAAAGTTTATTACGCTATTATATTAATTAATTATTATTATCTCGATTTAAAAAGGAATGTAATACACGTACACCCCTTTTTATACACGTACACCCCCTTTTGATACATGTACACCCCCTTTTGATACATGTACACCCCCCCAAATCCGATTAGCTTCCGCGCGGCCGCTAGCCGCATAAGGTATAAACCTCGCATATAGCCGGAGTAGGGTCGAAAGAGGTAGGGCTATACGAGGCGGATAGCGAGGTAATCGATAGCGAGGTAGATGTGGTACGCCAGCTTACATACAGGGTAACGAGATTATGTTTGATATCTTTCAGCTGTAGGAAGGATAGGTGGCTAATAGGTAGTGAATATTCGAGTACGATAGGCGTATTTCTAGTAGTAACGAGAGAGGGTAGCCAGCTAATCAGCTATCGCCATAGAAGGATAATCTAAAGACCTCATCATTCGAGAGATCTGGGAAGGCTTGCCTTGCTACCACTAAGAGTCTCGGCAATATTCCCTAGGAAGCTATGTGCGAGGTTTATACCTTATGCGGCTAGCGGCCGCGCGGAAGCTAATCGGATTTGGAGGGGGTGTACATGTATCAAAACGGGGTGTACATGTATCAAAAGGGGGTGTACGTGTATCACTTCCCTTTAAAAATACTTAAAAAATATAAAAATCGCTTTTTATATTCTCTTAGATTTTTTTTTAGTTTTTTATTATTAATATATATAAAAGAATAAGATAGAGCTAAGCTTAAAAATCTTAAATTTATATATATAGCTAATTATAAATTTAGGTTCTCTACGCTTTTTAACTAGACTATCTAAGTTATCGCGAATAAATAAATTAGCGTTTATAATTCTTAAAAAATAATAGATATATATTATTAATATATAGAATAACTTTTTTATTTTCTATTAAATTTTTAAGATTTTTTTTTAAATTATAGAACGAAATCTAGACTTTTAGAGAAAAAAAAAGAATTTCTAAATTTAGTCTTATAATTATTAAAGCGTAAGGAATTCAAATATCGCTTATTAAAGTTCGCTCGACAGCCGAATAGCTCTAATTAGATATACATTATTTGATTTTAGAATAACTTTTTTATTTTCTATTAAAATTTTGAGATTTTTTTTTTTAAATTATAGAACGAAATGTGGGCTTTTAGAAAAAAAAGGAATTACTAAATTTAGTCTTATAGATATTTAAAGGCAAGGAATTTAAATATCATCTATTAAAAGTTCGCTTATTAAATTTACTCGACAGCTCTAAATGCCTCTAATTAAAAAAAAAAATATAAATTTAATTTATAAACCTTTACTCGTATATTAAGATTAGAATATAATATAATATAAAATATAATATTATAATTAAAATTAAAATTAATAAGATATATAATTTAGAAAAAAAATTTAAAATTTTAATAGAAGATAATAAAGTTATTAAAAATTAAAACTAAGAAAAGAGGTTTTAATAGTTATAAATATTAATTTATTAATTTATAGTTTTAATTAAAAAGTATAACGAATTAAAATCTATAATTAATTATATATATAAATTTAAAATACTTTAATTTAACTCTATCTTATTCTATTATATATATTAATATATTATAAAGTAAAAATATATTTTTTATATTAAAAAGTTATCTTAACGATTTTATAATTACTAAGATTTTATAAAAAATCTAAAAAAGCTAAATTTATTTTATTTTATTAAATAGTAAATTAGAATATATTAAAAAGTAGAAATCTTAATATTTATAAAGTTTTTAGAGAATTATAATCTATCGTTATAAAGTTATTTTTAAAGTATTAACTTTTAATCTTCGAGAGAGAGAATACTTACGGAAACTTTTTCGTTTCTTAATAATTAAGAAATTAGATACTAAAAGAATTTAATATAAAGAATTTAATATAAAGAATTTAATATAAAGAATTTAATATAAAGAATTTAATATAAAGAATTTAATATAAAGAATTTAATATAAAGAATTAATATAAAGAATTTAATATAAAGAATTTAAAAAAAAAATAAAAAAGAATTAATATAAAGAATTAATATAAAGAATTTAATATAAAGAATTTAATATAAAGAATTTAATATAAGGGAGATTTTTTGACGAACATCTACGTCAGCTTAGCGCTCGCTTATTCTTCGCGAATTATTTCTTATCATAAAGCTTTTTCAAAAAAATACCATTCGTGTCATTCGCTAAGGATGTACCGTAAGGTACCTTAGACGTGGCGGCAAACTTGGCGCTTAGCAGCAACTCAACAGATCGAAGACGATTATTCGATGCACGTCCTCCATGTACATACTATATCCTGTCAATTGATTCTCGTATACTCTGTGGGAGTCTGGGAGTCTTTGAAGAATAAGTACACTTGATATGCTACAATAATCTGAGAAACTTAATAGGCAGCATTTGGTCACGCTGCTCATCCTGTCTCAGCGCGCCCATTGGAGGCCGCTCACACGGTCTTTGGCCAAGACGATACACCGATCCTCAATATGGTCTTGCGGTGACGTTTGGCTGGACCGGGCGGTCACTCAACGACATTTTACTTCCACACGTCCACATTATTGGTGGCCTCGACGGAAAGATGAGGAAGTAGGTGGAGATGCAGCACTCGATGAAGAGAGTACAGATAGCACCGACGATTCTCTCGCCGAAGACAAGACTCTTTATCCAAGTCATTCCCATTCCAGAAGGCACGAAGCGTTAAAGAGAATCCATATCTTAGGCGCAGGCAATCTGGGAGCATTCGTCGCGCACTCGCTCGCCGGGATCCCCAATCGACCACCTATCACCCTTCTCTTACGTCGCCGCCAGCTTCGCGTATGGGAATACCATGATTGCTCGATAGAAATCATAACACGTGGCATGAAGGAAACAAGACGGGGATTCGAAGCCGAGGCTGTCCGTCGATTGTTGGAGGACTCCTCGACGCCAGTCGGGAACCGCTCCGGGAAGAAAGAGGGCTTGTCGAACAAGACCGGAGTAGAGGTACAAGAAGATTCTTTAACAAGAGGTTTGACTTCGAAGACTGGAGCTGTTCCGGCTGTCAATGCGCCAACCCTGGAGGAGAGCAATCCGGTGGCAGATGACAGCCTTCAGAAGGATCGTCCGGGTATTAGAATTGCTTCAGAAGAGAGCCTACCAGGAGCTAGTGAGCCTTTGACGCCGGAAACGGAGGTCAATGCCTGGTTTGCACAAGCTGAGCAGGAGGTGGACGAAGCGCAACATAAAGAAAAGGACATGACGGCACCGGAACAGATCCGGATTCCTGATGAGCAGGAAGAGATGATCCATCATCTCATTGTCTCCGTGAAAGCCCCTCAGACCGTAAAGGCTATACAGGCAGTTGCCCATCGCCTCACCCAAGACTCTTCGATATTGTTTCTTCAGAACGGAATGGGCATGATCGATGAGGTTAATAAAAAACTCTTCCCCAACGAAAAGTATCGGCCAACGTATATCGTTGGCGTAGTCAGTCATGGTCTCTACTCAAATCGCCCCTTCTCCGTCGTCCACGCTGGCGAGGGGACCATTGCCTTAGGAGTCCTGCCACGAGTGCCTATAGGCGAATCTATAAAGCTAGAAGCCCTGAACCGGCTATCGCCTTCCGCTCGCTACCTCATGCGGACCATGACAAGGACAGCCGTCTTCGTCGCGGTGGGTTTTCCTCCAACAGACATTCTTCAACAACAGCTCGACAAGCTCGCCGTCAATTGCATCATCAACCCTTTGACGGCCATTCTTGACTGCAAGAACGGGGCGTTACTGTACAATTTCTATTTCCAAAGAGTCGTCAGGCTTTTACTGGCTGAAATATCTGTCGTCATCAAATCTTTGCCAGAGCTGAGTAACGTCCCTAACGTCAACATGCGCTTCGATACTCTGCGACTCGAGAGGATGGTTTTTTTAATAGCCAACACGACTGCCGAAAACCATAGCTCTATGGTGCAGGATATCCGGTCTGGAAGGCTTACCGAGATTGACTACATCAATGGATACATCGTCAAGCGAGGCGAAGAGATGGGAATTCATTGTGTCATGAATTACATGCTTATGCACATGGTCAAAGGGAAGAACAAGAACACATATCAGGAGAACGCTGATCTACTGCCGCTTGCTGGTCAAAGAAGTTGACGAAGGATGTTCCCAGTGTTGCAGACGTATGTACATTGCTAAACGGATATATCTACTTTATTAGGCTTGATAGGGCTACCGAAGCTCAATGCAGCTGTTTTGGAAGAGTGACATTGTATGTGTCCACCTCGGGAGCGTCAATGTTACTGCTGAAAACTTGCTGTGCTCGTTGCTTTGATTCGTCACTCCTCTTGATCATGCTCTCCGACCTCCGTGGATCAGCAAAGCCTGCTGTATCATGTCTCTTATCTGCTTCCATCTATTAATCAGCGTATCCTTCGCGCCTGGTGGTATTGCGTCGCCAGTCTTCTCCAAGCGTTGCAATGCTTCCTCTGCCTCTGCCTCGTAGGGTAGCAACACGCGATTCTGCAGTAATGTCGCTGCAGCGACCCTACTTTTTTCATCCTCAGAGTCGACACCCGCCACAAACTTGTTCCAGTGATAGGTGTTCAGCGCCTGCCTTCGTATCGCAACTTGAGTTCGAAAACAGACGCCGTCGCTATCAAGAGTATAAGTCCTGGCAACGAATCAGATTAACTAGGTATGAACTGCATCTTTGAAAGCCAAATACCCCAAGTACCCAGCTTTCTCGAGGCTGTTCTTCAGATATCCATTGATTTGCGTTCCGGAAAAGAAGTCATCGAGCGGTAAGCAATCATGTCTATTATTCTCCAGAATGAAGCCATCTGAGACCTGAGCCGAAGTACAACGTCAAATATTGGAATGACAATTCACCTACATTCGCAGAGCAGGAAATCATTGCTATGACTTCTGTAAAGATTCGGAATCAATATTTCTTCTGAGGACATTAATTCCGAGCAATGAGAGAGCTCGAAGGGACATTGAGATCTTCTTGCTCCTCTGTCTCGCAACCCGGACGATGGTCCCGAACTGGAAGTATTTTCTTGGAAGATGTACGTACCCGTAAGACGTGAAGATCTGTTCGCCAATATCTATTCTATATCAGTCGAATTCCTTTGGCTTACTCTGTCTAGAGGCATTGCATAGTACCATAGGTGCGGTCGCTAGTGACCGTATAGCCCTTCACACTGAAATACACACCGCACTATCACTCAGTATTCGTCCTGCCAAACACGCATTAACGCAAGAAACTCACCCCGTGATCGTTGTGGTTGAAGTAGTCAACGAAAGGACATAAGACCATGCGATCGTCATGATTCTGTGTAGCCTTCATGCCTGATACTTCGAAATAGAAACTTCGCGTATTGACAATGAGCCAATAGTAGGTGTATTCCGATAAAGTTTTGTCCGGAAAAAGTTTGGAGACAACGTTCCAGTCCGCTTTGAGTTTCTTCTCTTGTCGATACATAGGGGCTGTATCCCTGATTTTCCAGAATTCACGCATTTGATAGTGGGCCCATCGACCTGCAACAGCAGGCGGGAGAATGAACGCCGGATATTCGCGGCGCCCAAGCGTGTAGTTTGGGTTTCCATCATTGTCAAGAGTTTCTCTCATGAAGGATGGCCAAAGAATTGGCATTGACTCTTGAAAATCTTGCATTGAAGGCCATGATTTCTTCCAATGAGAATAACGAGATGTATCAGGACCACCGAACGCAAGGAAAGAAGCCAGAAGACCATGGACAGTGATTTCTTTATGCAGTTGTCTGAAACTCTCCGGGATCGTATTGATGGTCAAAAGCACAGAAGCCGGCACGTCGCAAAGCACTTCACCAGCCTACCACCACATTCAGCCTGTTGATCCTCGATCGAAGACCATTGTTTTGTAACCTCAATTCTGCGCTGCGCGACGATTCCCAACCCATGCCCGGAGATGCTTGCTGGCCCCACGCCGTTGACCTGGACTCCTTGCTGTTTTGCCCATGCTGTGAAATTCTCATGATGAGCTCCAGGGGGAGATATCCCTGACATGGGGAGTCAAAGTTACACGTCTTAGTGCAAAACGTTCATATCATGCTCCGCTTTTCGATCGACTGAAGGTTGCCATGATATTTTCGATCTTCCAGGTGATTCAGAAAGTCTGTGTATCACATCACCTTGCCCTGTGTTGAGACGAGAGGTAGAATGGGGTAGGCGGAGTACCCCTGTTTTCTTAATCATTGGGAAACTACCCCTATATTCTTAATCATTGGGAAACAAAAAAGTTCCCGCAAGCACCCCCCCCCTCGAAAACCAAAAATTGAAATTTCTTGAATAGCTTTACAACCACCAGTCTTTATAATCTACAATTTTTATAATCTTTTCTCATAATACTAAATAAATTGATTTTAAGAATCTTAGAAGATTTTAATTTAGATATCGTAAGATATAATATAAATTAAGAATATACGCTTAACGTTAAAAAGTTATCTCGACTATTCTATAATCGCCAAGACTTATTAAAAAAATCTTAAGAATTTGATAGATTTTTATTTTACTATACAGTAGATAATTTAAATATTCTAAAAATTGAAAATCGTAATCTTTATTATATCTTTTAATAGTTATAAAGTTTTTAGAGAATTATAATTTATCGTTATAAAGTTATTTTAGAAGTTTCAATTTCCAATTATCGAAAGAAGAATACTTACGAAAACTTTTTTATTTTTTAATAATTAAGAATATAGAGGTAAAAAAAATCTACGATTTTAATACCCCCCGATAATTAAATATCGAAAATTTATATTTCCTATATACTCTTACTATTACTTATTTTTATAATCTAAAAACTTTACGAAATCTATTTACTATATTAAATAATCTACTCTTAAATTTAAAAAGATTTTTATTTTAATCTTATAAGTAAAATATAAAAAGTAAGAATATATCGCGAACTTTAAAAATTTATCTTAATTATTTTTTTACCGCTAAGATTATCTCGAGAAAATCTAAGAATTTATTAAATCTTTATTCTATAATAGAATAAATAATTAAGTTCTTCTATAATTTAATATTCTTAATATCTTATATAATTATTAAAATCTGGGAAGTTTTTAGAACGTTATAAGTTATCGTTATAAGACTATTTAAGAAAAGTACTTTTTTAATTTTTTAGATAAGAATACTAAAATCGCGATTTTAATTTCTTAATAATTAAGAAAATAGAGGTAATTAGCGTATATATAAAGGTTTAAAATTCTTAGCGCTAAGAAAATCGTATATACTCTATTAAGAGTAATAGTAAATAGCTTTATCTTCTCTAATATCGTAATTTCATTACTATCTTATAAGTAAAGTTTCTATATATCTTATTTAGCGATTTTCTAATATTTAATCTTAAGACTTCGAATTTTTAATAAAGAAGTAGATATCTTAGAGGGCTTATCTATATATAAGGCGGAAAATAAATAATTTATATAAGGAAGGTTAGTCGAGTATATCTATTCGAAATCTATTCTAAATCTATTAAAATTTTTAAGTCGCTTTCGAAGTTTATTAATATTATTAGTATATATAAAAGAATAAGATAGAACTAAGCTTAAAAATCTTGAATTTATATATGCAGTCAATTATAAATTTAGAGTTACTACGCTCTTTAATTAGATCGACTAAGTTACTATAAATAAATAAATTAGCGTTCGTAACTATTAAAAAAAAATAGTCGGATAGTTCTAATTAAAAAATAGATATATATTATTTAATTTTAGAAGATAGAATTAAGCTTAAAAATCTTAAATTTATATATAAGTTAATTATAAATTTAGAATTACTACGCTCTTTAATTAGATTAACTAAGTTATCGCGAGTAAATAAATTAGCGTTTATAACTATTAAAAAAATAGTAGATAGCCCAATTAAAAAATAAATATATATTATTTAATTTTAGAATAACTTTTTTATTTTCTATTAAAATTTTAAGATTTTTTTTTAAATTATAGAATAAAATATAGGCCTTTAAAGAAAGAAAAAAATTTTAAATTTAGTCTTATAATTATTAAAGCGTAAGAAATTTAAATATCGCTTATTAAATATCGCTTATCTATTTACTCGATAGCGTTAATTTAAAAAAAAATTTTAAATTTAATTTATAGACCTTTACTCGTATCTTATATAATAATATCTTTAATTAAATAATATATTAATACGACGTTAAATAAGATATATTATTAAGATATAATTTTAAAAGATATATTATTAAATATTTTTATATTATTTTTATATATATCTCTATTAATATATAATATAAAATAGAGAATATATAATAAATTAATCGAGATTAAGCGAGTAGTAATTTATAATAATAGATTTTATCTTTAAATCTAAAGTAATTAACTAAAAGAAAAGATAGAGATTATAGTTAATTTTATATATTTTTTTAATCTAAATTATAAAATAATAATAAGATTTAAGAAATTATATAGATAGATTATAAAGACGAAGATAAAAGTAAATATTATATATACTCTATTTATCTATCTTATTTTATATTATAATTAATTATCGAAAATCTATTAATACTATATTACCCTCTTATCTAATTATTATAATATATTAATATACTATTAAATTAATATTCTAATTAAAATTAATATTAAAAAATTATAAGAGCGAGTTTTTTATTTAAAGCTATAGTATTTATTTTATAAAGATAAAGTAGATAAAGATATAAATAATACTTTTAAATTATTATTCTAAGAGTTATCTCTAATATAAGAAAGTATTTTTAATTATATAAATATATTATTTATAGAAGAGACGTTTCTTATAAAATAGTCTATCTTATTATATTAAATATCTATTTAAAATAAATTAATTATAAAAAATAGAGTATATATTAAAATTAAAATATATAATAATATATACTTCTCTAATATCTATACTATATCTTTTTATATATAAAAAAGAAATTTAATATTTATAGAAATATATAGAGAATATTAAAGCTTAAAGATAAAAAAAAAATAAATAAAAGATTAATAAATAAAATTAATAGATATTAAATATAATTCTATAATAATAAGTAATAATAATAAGATAAAATATATTACTATTATAAAAGACGTTTTTATTACTTAAATATATTATATTAATTAATACGATATTAAATAAATACTCTTTATAATCTTATAATAGCTAGAATATATTTAATAATTTTATTCTAAGGATATTTAATAATTATATATCTTATTATATTAATTAGCTTATAATAAATATAATTCTATAATATAATATTAGATAATAAAAAAGAATTACTTAATTTATAAGAATACTCTTTAAAAATAATTTTTTTCTTTAAATTAATATCTTAATTCTATATATATTACAGTAAAGGCCTATGAATTAAATTCATAATCATTTTTTTTATCGGGGCGTCGAGTAATTTTGGTGAGCGATCTTTGGTGAGCGATATCTGAATTCTTACCTTTAAATATCTATAAGACTAAATTTAGTAATTCTCTTTTTATCGAAACCCCACATTATACTCTATAGTTTAAAAAAAAATTAAAATTTTAATAGAAAACAAAAAGTTATTCTAAAATCAAATAATGTGTACCTTTTTTTTTGATCAGGGCTGTCCGGCTGTCGAGCGAACTCTGATAAGCGATATTTGAATTCCTTGCGCTTTAATAATTATAAGATTAAATTCTAAAATTCTTAAAAATTCGGAAAGCGTAGACTGCGCTCTAAAATTAAAAATTTAAAATCTTAAAAAGTTAATAGAAAATAAAAAAGTTTTTCTATATATTAATAATATATACCTATTTTTTTGATAGTTACGAACGTTAATTTATTTACCCGCGGTATTTAATTAAAAAGCGTAGACCTAACGAATTAATAATTAGCTATATATATAAATTTAAGATTTTCTAGTTTAGCTCTATCTTATTCTATTATATATACTAATAAGCTTATTTTACTAAATAAATATTATAAAATTAAATTTATCTAAAAAATATCTAAATATATATTTTAAGAAATATATATTTTATAAAATAAATATTATATATTAGTATATATAAAAGAATAAGATAGAGCTAAACTAGAAAATCTTAAATTTATATATATAGTTAATTATAAATTTATTAGATCTACGCTTTTTAATTAGATATTATAGATAAATAAATTAGCGTTTATAATTATTAAAAATCTATAAAAATCTATATATAGAAGTCTTATACTCTAAAATAACTAGCTTTCTAAGAATACTATTACTTTATAATTTCGTAAATTATAGAGCTTAATTTACGCTTTCTAACGATATAAAAATTTTAAAGTTTAATCTACTATTAATAGATAAAATTAATATTTAAATATTATAATTATATTAAACGCGTTCGAAATTAAATAATAATTCTTCTATCTATTTATATAATTATTATTTCTTTATTACTTTATTAATTCTATTAATTTTATTAATATAAATATATTTACTCTCTCTATCTCTTACTCTTATATTACTAGATTTATAAGATATATATATCTCTTCTATCCCCCTTTTAAAGCCTCTATTAACGTCTCTAAGTCGTCTCTCGACGAATTTATTATTATTAATAATCGAGGCCGTAAGCGAGCTTAATAGCTACTTACTACTACTTATAAACGCGTTAAAAGATCTTTAAAAAGAGCTCGAACGGATTTATAGCTATTATTCTTCTCTATATACTTCTCTTAAGTTAGCGATACTCGATTAATCGCTTAATAAAATCGTTAATTAATTACTTAATTATTTACTTAGTTAATTACTTAGCTAGTTACTTAGTCTAATACTCTATAAGAGAAGAAGTAAGAGAAGAAACTATAATAGATAAATGCGGAGAATACTACGGAGAATACTACGGAGAATACTACGAAGAAATTAAGCGATAATAAGATTACTATCGTTAAGAATACGACTTAGCTCTCTAAGATCTTACGTTATATACTCTTTATAATTTTATATTAAATTATTACTTAGTAAGCGAAGAATATTATTATAACTTAATCTATTATTT